CTCAAACCTCTGCTAAGCATCTCGTAAGAATCTTTTGCCCTCAGAACGGAAATTTTCTGAGAAACTGGGCACAGCTGACTTCGGCTATGAACTTCGCTGCCACGTCCTTATGTACAGTAATTCATGAACAAATATCCCACGACTTCGAGAGGCGAAAATGAACACGTCCATGAGGCTTTGAAAACGGTTCATTGCTTCCAATTCGCTTGCTCTCGACAGTTGACTTTTCGTGTCAGACTTTTTCATTTATTTCACCGTCATAACCTCCTGCTGACAACGAAGCGATTAGCAGCTTAGCACCGCTTAGCACTACCTGTTTTTTACTGATCTACTTTACCCGATATTATTTACATGCAATTTTACGAGTTTATGACAAGCAGCTGGATCTGAGGAACAGTTAAAATAGATATAGTTATAGCCTTGATAAAGTATGGCCATTCTTAATAACAAATGAAGGCTCATTTAAATAAATTTGTTATGAGTTCCGCAAAACGTCCGTCGCATTAATTAATTTTATAATAAATTCGTTTCTTCATTATGAAAGTTTGCTATATCTTTCGAGCGGTCAGCAAAACAGCTTCCAAAGATTTGTCTAATGGTTTTGATCTTTGTCAGTTGCAGAAGTTCTATTGGCTTAAATTCAAAATTGATATATCCCTATTTCTTAATATATATTTGACGGCGGAGGCAAATGTTATTTGTCGATCTTAAATGAATAAAACCAACTTCTTCTAGCAAACGGAATCCCAAACTATGGCTCTTAGTCGGCCTACGGGTGACGGACCTCAGATTCTGCCAACGCACATCTGCTATGGCCTGCTTTGCCGTGCGTCAAACGTACAGCTTTCCCAGTCGGCCAACCGCCTCTTGGATAACAGATGTAACGGGAAGCGCTTCAGTAACGGCTTCGTTCAAAAGTAAGTACTGTAAGGTACTTTACCATGTTTCTGGACTTCATATCTTCTGTTACCATGACAATCCTTGCAGTTCAGCACTTGAAAAGAAAGTGTGATGTTATTTTTATGAACACCCTTGTCTGTGATTCTATTTGTACGGTTTAATATTATTATGGAATGTGGTAGCAGATGTCAGTTTTCGTAGATGACTAAACATATGGCTCTGGAGACGTTTTGTACTTATTAGCACGTTTTGGCGTATGATCCCATTCTCTAGAACTTTGCTAAAGAAGATCGAGCACGATTAAGAGCAAGTCATTCAGGAAATGACTATATGTATGTATGTATATATAGCTTACCAAAGGGTATATATATATATAGGGCTCCCCCCTCCCTGACAGCTGCTGCGCAAATTTAATCAAGGTTTCCTCATAAGTAATATCGATAATACATTGGCTGACAGGCATCTCGACTGCTTCATAGCTTTGGATTTGATGCCTTTCAGCTTTCAAGCAACCGATGCTCCTAAGCCATTCCTAAATCTGTTGTTTCCTGTTAATTGCACGGAGCCTAGTTTGGCTTTCATTCTTCATATGAGTGTTTTTGGTGAAGGGTACACTAAAGAGAAACAACCAAGTTGCTTACAACTGATCAGCCAAAGGCTTCATTAAATACTACAGTGATAGCGATTGATCAGAGCGATAATGTCTAACCAACGAAACCTGTCTCGGTCTGCCTTCTGAGCATCAAATCAAAGGGCGTTACTTCGATCCTTAAGTAGTTCCTTGGCGTTGGGCGTCAAGATGTTCTCGCTGTCTGCCCAGAAATCTTAACCTTGGTCAAGGAGGCGATTAATGAGTGTTTGACTTGCTTTCTGAGCCAGATTCTTTCGCGATATGACGAGTTCTGACCGTGAGGGAGCGTTTCCTTTCTTTCTGAGGTAGTCTGTTGTTCCCGAGTTTTTGCGACACGTCTATTATTATAACTATCCGTAAACAATATTACCTATTACTAACAATTCAAGTTTATTGCCTTGAGCTGCGCCGATCGCTGCGCTTACGCAATGACGTGAACACGAGTCAACACCATATTGTCCTCATTTGCGTAGAGGCATCACGAGACGATTCATCTTCCCCATGAACTGCCATTCGTCGTCCTCTGCACAGAAGACAGACGGCATAACAACTGGAACGTCTCGTTATTTGCAGAAATTAATGCGGGCGGTGACCCCCTGCTTTCTGTCTGAGTTTTTCCTTGCAGACTACTGCGTTAAAGGCATAATTGAGTACCAGATCAGACTTGGATGAGGAAATCTTTTGTTTCCTCTTTTTACGTGCACTGCCTTGCATCCATGCACTGCTGACGATGCCCTGCTTGCGGTCAATCGGCGACTTTGGTTAGCATATTCTTGTCTCTCTTACAATGGCACCTGACTACACCAGATGGAACCAGTTCACTGCAAATATTCGTCTTAAAACCTTCCTTTCCGTTGCTCCAATTTTTTGATTCAGCTTTTGCCAAGTGCTGCGTTCCCCAAACAGGATGTTCAGAACGAAAGACCTGCATAGCCACAGCGTTGTGCCGCTGCCGACGTCTTTGTCCTTCCAGATCTGTTGAGGTTGACACATGGCACCAGTTCGCTTACTGTACTCCTAAGATGCAGATGTTCTGGCATTTTCTCTTTTCTACTTTGGTGTCAAGGATCAGACAATGTTTGGTCTCGTTTCTGTCGATCTCCGTTCACTTCATCTTCTTTCAGTTAATTAATCGGAGGCCCAAATCAGAATAGCTCTGTTTTGAGAATTGGGAACGATGATGCCGCAGCTCCGAAGCTGTCTGCTGCCAAAACCATGCCATCCGCAGATTCAAGGCAGGTTACACGGATTTTCCCAAGTCTTGCCGTATTCCTAGCTTTGCTCGTTCTCATTGGCTGGAACACCGAATCACTTGTGAAGCGTCTCAAGCAGCACTACTCCTTGCCTTACTGGAAACGTTGTACCAAAGAATTTGCCGAACGTGCCATTTCACGAAAGCCGATGCATCATTTTCGTTATGAGAATAATTCTTTGGTAGGATTCCGTGCTGTTCACCAGCATTCCACAAGACACCTTCAGACTAAGACAAAACCTTTTGTGAAATAAGCGAATATTGCAAGGAACTTTGGTCGTTGTTCTCTTGTTTTCCATTCGCTGCGACGTTGTGAATGTCTGATCATAATACCCTCATGCCGGCCCTCAGTTCAGACTGCTTTCCGCCAAACATCTGCTTAAGTTGTTTACGAACCCTGTTCAGTGTAAACTTTAGCAAGAACAAATATTATGCTTATTCCATAGTAGTTATTTCGTTCCGTGCAACTGCCTCTTTTAGATATTAGAAACACGACGTCTCTCTCCGATGATTCAGATCTGCTTATTCTGCTATATCAATTCAAACGGATTAAGAAAAGCTTATCCACTTCCTTTAATGCCATTTGATAAATTCCTCCAACGCTGTCACTTTTCAGTTGGGCTACGAGTTCAGTGACTTGCTGGAGGGTGGGCACTATCGGCATCTATCATTCGTCTAGGCATAATATCATACAACTGTTGAATGTTCCGACGTTCACAAGGTAATTCTTGAATACCGTAGAAATGGATAAGTGTGCCCTCCAGCAGGCTGCTTTGCCTTTTTATACAATTGCATTATTTGGTCATTATGCGGCGCTTTCAGAACAGAGACAGTATGGGTAATGGACAACAACCAAAATATCACAATATAATTAACAATTAGTCTTTCGGCATAAGCCACCTGACGCACAACCAATCATATCTGCTTTTCAGGTTTTCTAGGAGCTTTGGCGACATAGGAAATGCTCAAATCAATTAGCAGCTTATGTAGCGTACCAGAAGGTTATGGTGACTGTGTTGAATACAGCCTTATTTATATGCCTTAAAAACATCGGTAAAAATCTGCCTGAACTATCAGTATGACAGGTAACAAGTTGAATGATCGTAATTAACAGAGTTTATCATGTGTTATTTCCTCTCTCTGCTTGATGTTCAGGTAGAGTATTTTGCTTGAGTGTCGGTAGAGGAACATGAAAAGCGGCACAAATCTGTTTATTTCTACAGTACTGTAGCGGATGTTGCCGAATTTCTTCATGGTCCTTCTCAAAGGCACGTCTGACGAGGCAGTTCGCTTGTTCGTAGGAGTAGCTGCCTAATGGGTTTGTTTTCAGATCAAAAACTAATGCATGCATGATGGGCATGTTAGAGAGACAACATCAACAGAACTAGTGATGATCGCCTCCTCACAAAATGGTGAGGTAGCGCCGACCTGTAACTGCGGCGTATCTGAGTATGCAATGGCAGATGCTCAGCTTGGTCATATGCCGTAGCGTGCACAGACTTACGAGGTAAACCATCAGAGAAAGGTTCAACCGAGTTCGCCTGTTCTTTCTGCTGCAGAACACGCATACGTATCGCCGGGCTGGTCATCATACACATACTTACTGCATGCGTAGGAGTTAGTCGGAGGCATGCAAAGAATTGAGTTGGTTCATTAAATTAATTAGTTTATGGTTGCATCAGTGGTGCCACATTCTCCAAGCAGAAATGAGGGTTCTCCTCCTCGCTGTCTGTTGAACCGTCAATCATTCGAACGAGTGATCTCATGAA